TGAAAACCAAGGGAGTTATAGCTTTTTAAAGTTTCACCCAATCAGATTGCAGCGCACGTGCATGCACGTGTTTTCATGATAATTTCTATATATCATGTTGTAGGATATTCTAACGCATGGCTATGTTCAAAATTTCAAAGGATTTCCTCAAAAAACAAGACAGATATTGAGATTTTAGTTTCAGCCAATCAGAGCAAAGCACACGTGCATGCGCGTGAGATCTTGCTATTTTGACCATGTCATATTGTCTATGCTTCTAATATATCCTTACATTATGAGTTTCAAAGCATTTCATCAAAAATAAAAAAAATTACGCCTATATCAATTAAATCGGTCATTTTACATGTTGCACGTGCGCGCTCTTGCAAGCACGTGCGCGCAAAATGACCTTTGTTCGGCAAATCTACATAACATGTCTACTGACCATAAAAACATTTTACCTTAGTCGGATGTGTAGTTTACAAGATCACTCAAGGACAAAATTTTCCCAGGAATAATAATAATAATAATAATAATAATAACTAGAAACTCTTATTGCTATAGCAACAAAGAAGGTCTTCCGTTCTCCTCCATTTATCTTCATGAATGAGGTTTTATCTATGTTAAAAGGCATCTAATATTTTAAATGATTTCAGGAAAACAAACGGCCAGAGGTGTATTTTACCAAGATTCGATTCTCGACATTACTTTAGAAAATTACAATCTTAATAAAATTTACAAAAATCATTTTTAATTTTTTTTTTCACTTTCTGTGACGACCGGAAGTGACGGCGAACACATTTTACCCTATATCTGCTGCCCAATCTTCATAGTTTATTATTCATATAAGTTTAGTATTTTGATCTGTTACAGTTTAAGAGATCTCACAATGTTATCTTCTCATTTTGAGGACAAGATATCACGTGACCGAAAGTAAATATATTTGAGGTAACTCTAGACATTTCAGTCTGAATAGCATGCCCTAAAATCTTTTCAAATGTCTTTTTATAAAAAAAATATTTATGGAATAGTACGATACTAAATTTATGCAGTTTTTCTCCCATAACCGTAAGTAGTTGTTTTTGTTTCCAGTGGTACTGACATATATAAAATTTACAAATAAGATTCTATAATATATTACTAAGAAAGATTCCATAAAAAATTGAAATTTTTGATATATCTGTTCACTTCCTGTGTCAACCGGAAGTGACGGCGGACAATGTTAACCCAAATGAATTTGCCTATTCAGCAACATCTATCACTCCTATAAGTTTGGTGTATTAATCTTTTACCGTTTACGAGATCTAGCTATGATAACTTTTCATTTTGAGGACAGGAAATCATGCAACAGGAAGTGAATTTTACAAACATGTTTGACCTATCTGTAGACATTAGCAGTCTCAATAACATATCTAAAAAAAATCATAACAAATACTTATTGTATAAAAAATATCTATGGGAAAGAAAAATACTGGAATTATGCAGTTTTTCCTCTTATAACCGGAAGTTGTCGTTTTTGTTTCTGGTGGGACTGACATATTTCGAAACTACGTATAAGATGCTACAATGTGATGCCAAAAAAATTCATAAAAGAAAAGTTGAAATTTTCGATTTCTTAGATCACTTCCTGTGACGACCGGAAGTGACGGCTGACAATGTTAACCCAAATGAATTTGCCTGCTCATCAAGATCTACTAGTCCTATAAGTTTGGTGTCTTAATCTCTTACCGTTTACGAGACCTCGCTATAATAACTTCTCATTTTGAGGACAGAAAATCGCGCAACCGGCAGTGAATTTTAAAAAGATATTTGACGTTACTGTAGACATTTTCAGTCTGAATAACATATCCAAAAATCATTCCAAATCCTTTATCTATGAAAAAATATTTATGGGAAAGAAAAATACTCAAATTATGTAGGTTTTCTCTTATAACCGGAAGTTGCCGTTTTTGTTTCCGGTGGGAGTGACATACTTCAACACTATAAGAGAGATGCTATAATGTGATGCAAAAAAAGTTTCAAAAAAGAAAAGTTGAAATTTTCGATATTTGTGAACACTTCCTGTGACGACCGGAAGTGACGGCGAACGATATTAACCCAAATGGATTTGCCTACTTATCAAGATCTATCATCCCTGTAAGTTTGGTGCCTTAATCTCTTACCGTTTCTGAGATCTCACTCGGATTAAATATTTTTGAAAAAAACGGAAATCGAACATATCTGACGACCGGAAGTGAATTTTGAAAAAATGAAAAAAACGTCTCGGGGTATTTTTATTCTCTATCATCCCTGAAAATTTCAGGAAAATCTGTCAAGCCATCTCTGAGAAATCCTGCCGACAAGATTTGGGAAAAAAAATAATAATAATAAGAAAAAACAGTAGAATCACTATAAGGTCTTCCGTCTGAAACGGAAGACCTTAATAAGAAACAGAGTAAAAACAATATGTTCCCCAACTTCGTTTGGGGAACATAATAAGAAACAGAGTAAAAACAATATGTTCCCAAACTCCGTTTGGGGAACATAACTAGATACGATCTCGTTGCGAGCAACGAGTGGGTCTTCCGTCCCATTAGAGATGAGATGAGATGTGAGTTTTGCTGAGAGATTTGTTTATTTAGTTAATGATGTAAACATTGTCATGCCTGTCGTTTTCCCCCGTTAATTTGAACATTATTACAATTTGTTTATTTATTCTATTTATTTATTTTTGCCTCGGTCCTTCGGGTGAGACCTCTTATAAACAGGATCCCGTGTCGCAGTAGTTGTTTGCACGAAAAATATCCTTAATTCCCTGCTCAATGACCCTGAGTTCCGAGTATAGGGAAAAAATAGCAGCTCTTCGGCCGCAAGTCACTGTATGGTGGCGTCTCCATGAGTAAAAACTTCTCAAGGGCGTTAAGCAATATACAATCGATCAATCAGTCATAACGTAGGACAAAATATTTGTTATTTTTTTAATATTTTGGGTTTTATTTTTTGCCCCAATATCAAATGAAAAATTACAATGAAACTGCTTTTGCTTAATCGTTTAGGGAACAAAATACATGTCTATCTTTGAGATAGAAGATCCAGATTGAACAGAAAATCAGTTTGAAAAGAATTTTTATTGGCAGTTAATTACATTGTACATAATTTATAATAGATTAAAATATTTTAAAATTATATAAGAAGAAGAGTAAGAAATGTAATTAATTATTTTCTTTAATTTCTGAATGTAAGTCAACAACAGTTATATATTTCCGCTCACAAATAGTCCATTGTCTTTGAACATTTTTCCTGCGCAAATAAGGCACGTACGTGTATACTGTATTCTTAATGAATGAAAAAGTCTCAATATACATAATTATCTTTATAATTTGATTTTTCCTCTGAGTCCAAAAAACAGTTTCTGTATGTGTTTAGAGTTTCCTCAAGCATTTATTTGTATAATATTTGCGGGTTTTCAATTTCTGACTTTTTAATTGCTATGTGCACTGCTCATAACAAGAACGGTGGACTGTGTTACAAGTTGCTGAAAGCTAGGATTTTTCCGTACATTAAAGGTACTATTAAAATATATAAGTCGTAATATTAAAAAAAAATATTGACTTCAAATCTGTGTCCAAGTACCTTTAAAAGCGAGAAATATAGAAGCATGTCGAATGTCAAACATATCATAGGCGTCGGAAACTGGGGGCGCAAGGGAGTTTGACCCCCCCCCCACACACACACACACACACACACACACATGTACTTTTTTTTTGAGAGATAGACATATTATATGCATTGGAAATTGGAATTTATCTTATTTTGTTGGTTTAGCCCCCATCCTCCCCTCTCACTTTCATCCCACTTTCGATTTGCTTCCGACGCCTCAATCTAATTAAAATTAGATGTTAGATCCACTAGCAAGTATGCAAGCCGATCTAACATCTAATTTTAATTAGATTGCCGACGCCTATGCATATTTTTAATATGGAGGATGGAAACATGTAGAAATTCTGTTTTCTAATTACATTTTTTCAAACCGTGACACTCATAATCCCTTATATACCCCCTCCTCTTACTTAGCACATGCGCGGGTCTATCCCCCTCTTCTCTTAATTTTGAGGCGAAGTTATTACATGTAAAAATGTACATTTAATTTTATTGATTTAGGACTCGGCTAAAATAAAAACGCGTTTTTACATGTCAGATAAGGTGTTTTCAAGAGTAATTTAGAATACATGTATGTAAGTAATCCAATCTTTGGCCCATAAGGGATAAAAAACACAAGTAACAAAATAAAGAGTAAAATTTTTGATTGGGAGTCGAACAAGTTATGAAGTAATGATGACTGTGATAGTAGATTTAATAAGTTATATGCCATGCAAATTAACATGAAAGGGGAAGAAAATTAAATGGTATTTTGTGGTAATAAATATCAATAATATAGACTATTTTATTGTTGTTTTCACGAAGAATAAACTTTTTGTCTTTTAAGACAGAAATGAATGTAAACATTATCATTTAAATTTTATTTGAAGAACTGTAGGCCTACCTGAAGCATCCTGAGAATTTTAGATATACACCCATGTCTTTTTTCACGTTAATTCGTGAATTCAGGAAATGGTAGAATTGATTTAAGAACAGGGGTATTAATAAGCATCTATGTGCAAACCCCCCCCCCCCCCCCCCAGCCCCATTTTGTTTGTCAATTGTAAATTTCGAAAGGCTTATTTTATTCTTTTAATATTTTCAAAATTACGGATTTCTACAGCCCCTTTCGTCTATACAAATAATGTACGATATGTTAGTAAATAAAATATTATCTTCAGTACTAAGTGCTCTTTCTTTCCAGAATTATCGTTCCACTATAGGCCCTATACATGCACCCTCTGGTAAGGGATTGTCTGAGATTTGTTTCTTGTTCTTGCTATTTCTGGTGTGATTTTTTAAGAAATATATTATGTTTTTTGATCAGTAATAATCAGTACGGATATAGTAAAACACCTGTGAGACCTGCAGCAGAACTTATACCGATTGTGACAACAAGACCCATGGAGTTAGTTTGCATAGATTTTCTGAGTTTAGAACAATCCAAAGGAGGCTTCGAGAGTATTTTAGTCATAACGGATCACTTTACCAGATTCGCTCAAGCCATTCCATGTAAAAATCAAACTGCTCATACTACAGCTAAAACTTTATTTGATAACTTCTTTCTACATTACAGCTTTCCTGAGAAATTACACAGTGACCAAGGACGTAACTTTGAGTCAAAAGTAATCCAAGAACTCTGCAAACTCCTAGGAATAAAGAAAACAAGGACTACGCCGTACCACCCGATGGGAAATGGCTCAGCTGAGCGATTCAACCAAACACTCATCAAAATGCTCTCAACACTCAACGAGAAGCAGAAGTCAGACTGGAAATCCCATGTTGCTCCACTTGTTCAAGCCTACAATGTGACCAGAAATGATGCAACGGGATACACTCCACACTACCTGATGTTCGGTTGGCATCCTAAGCTTCCCATAGATGTATTCTTTGGTATGGACTTGGAACACGAGAAAGGAGATCACCATGGTTATGTTGAGAAACTTAAGGACAGGATGGTGTCAGCATATAGACATGCCTCTCAAGAAGCTAGGAGAATATCTGACAAGAACAAGAATAAGTATGACCAGAGAGTGAGGTTCTGTAAGCTGGAGATTGGAGACAGAGTCCTTGTGCGGAAAGTAGGATTAAAGGGAAAGAATAAACTAGCAGACAGATGGGATTCAGAAGTTTATGTTATCACAGAAATTCCCAATCCCGAGATCCCTGTTTTCAGAGTGAAGAGTACATCAGGACGAGCCACAAAGACACTGCACAGAAATATGCTGCTACCATTTAACCAGATACCAGCATGTGACATTGATGAACCTGTTGTTTATAGGACACCTGTGACAAGGAGGAACAAGAAGCCTAAGAATTCTGATGAACTTCCGGAGTCCGATTCTGAGAGTTCGGATGATGAAGTAACAATTGAAGTGAAATCAAGGATACCCAGAAATAGAGATGAGTTCAGCAAAGAATCATCAGATCAACACAGTGTATCAAGATCTAAAGTTTCTAGTGTATCAGATGGTACTAATCAAAATATTTCTTCATTTCAGAATTCAAGTCCTTCCTTTCAGAGTGTGAGTTCTCCCAGACAGTCAGGTTACACCAGTGAGTCAGACAGCAGTAGTACCAGAGCTTCTGTGAGCGGTCCACATAGTCAGTTTATTTCAGACCAATCACAGTCGCCTTTACCGATTTTGCCGAGACGGTCGACCAGAATGAAAAAATTCCCAGATCGGTATGGGGAATGGATAATGTAAACGGTTTTTTATGATATTGCTTTATGCCGAGAACCGATTTTTATGCTGAAAACTGCTTTTATGCCGAAATGTTTTTATGATGCAGTTTACCCGGGATTTTAATAAATTAAAATAAAAATTTAAAAAAAAAAAAATATTATAATAATGACCATATTCATTATTCCCCTAATCCTTAAACTCATTGTATATAATAATTTGTGTCTAGTGTTTATGGGATTAGCTCTTAAAAGTTGTAAAACTTTAATGAGGTGTATTGAGGTACGTGTAACTAGTTTCATGACTTGTGTGTCATATGGAGTATGGAGGAATTCATTGGTCAGGTATTCCTACATTGATTGGTACATTTGTATATTATGTGTCTTGTTGATGTTTGAAGTTTGATGGTCATTGATGAGGTTTTAATTTAATTACTTGATTTCATTGTGGTGAGTTGTATCAGGTAAATTGGTTTTTATTTATATTTCATGGTTACTATTATTGTACATACTTCTTTGGAAATGTCAGGAGCCATTTCAACGAAGAGGGGGAGTATGTAACCAGGGTTATGTATTATTTAATGCCTTTAATTACTATACTAGCGCTGCGTATATGTGAGAATGTGGTGTGAAAAACTTTGTGTGAATGAGGTTGTTGTTATTTTTAGACACTAGACGGACAGTCACATGACTTTATCCTATTCACCAAATTCCCGCTTTCACGCACTAACATCGGGCACTCTGAGCCTAGCCGTTGAATTGGTTAGATGTGTACTCTACTCTATAGTCAATAACAGATAGTAATATTTGTAATTCCTGTGTGTGTCCCGGTAAGAATCTATTCTAAAGTAAAGTCTATTATGTTTTAATTATCTGTCTAAATGTCTGTCTATGTGTCGTCTATATGTTGTGTGTAATTGTAATATTTCAGGTTTTTGACGTCTTATTTCAACATTAATAAATATAATATTGAACCTGAACCAGATTGTTAGTTCTGATGTTTTACCACTGGCTACAAACATTTCTACAATACGTCTTAAAAACACATCCATCTTTTCAATGACTTTGACATCATCTTTTAAAGTCACAATGATTCGAAATATATACCGTACGACTTGTCCAGACCCTATTATTGACCTACATTCTGTGTTTACTTTTGGCAGTTCGATAAATTGCGCAGTTAACAAAGCAACAGACGCAGAGAAACCTGTGACGTTTTGTACATCAGAATCAAACAACAAGTTAGACTAAACTAGACAGAGAGTAACAGAACGTGTTCTTACATCTGTGTGTCATCGTAAGTATATCAAAATGCTTATTAAATACAAGGGTTTATTATCAAAGGTTTTCGTAATCTGTGAATAAAATGTATGGTCGAAGGTCCTAAATTCGACAGGGTCCGAATTTCGACGGTTTTGTTATTTTGTTTATATCTGGTTCGTTCTCGCGAGATCAGGCTGATCTGTGTAAACATAGTACCCCAGTAGACTTGCGATCACATTACCTATATCATGGATGAAAATGCATTTCAGACAGGAAAGTATTCGTTTCATATAGTTTTAGACGAAAAAAATGTCTGCCTTGCGTAAAATCACTTTTTGATACAAATATGAAATCTGATTACTGGTTTATGATTGCTACAAATAACTTGACAAAATGCCGTCTGCATAGACTGACAATTCAGTTATGAAATTCACGCGACAAACTTTTGGAAAACAAGGCCAAGCCAATTTTATTTTGAAGTTATCAGAACTATATTTTTAAAAAAAGAAAACAATGAATTCATCATATTTTGAATTAAAATCACAATGATTAAGTGTGTTGTTATACTTAAATTTTAATGATTTGTTGGTAATCATTTGCAATTTCCTGAAATGTAATGTATTTTTCTTTTTTTTTTTTTTGAAAATACTTTTTTCCCTTTTTATACTAAAAGTACTACACTGAATCTTTACACAGGAAATATTTCAATGCTTAGAATATTATGTTTTTTTTCTTTTAAAATTTTCCACCATTTCTACTTTTTAAAACAAAATTCTTTCATTCTCTACTTACATTAAAAAGTTAACTAAAAATAATATTTAATAATGGTATTATATGTAAAAAAAATAATAATAATAAATAATAAAAAAAAAATAAATAAAAAAATAAAATTAAATGCAGTTTGTATTAGCTTAACTATTGTTTATATTTGTTGACTGGTCCTATAAAAAGACATCAGTCATTTTGTTCACGCCTATTGGTGTGTATATTGGAAGTTTACGCCACAAGAAATTTTCAACAGTGACATAATTATATTCACAAAATGGGCCCAGTATGATGGAACGAAGAATGGGGTGCCTTGTCAATATTGAGTCACCTGAAATACTGTTGCAGCACACAAGTTCTCTACCTAGTACGACTACTGAGTAATTTCTCTGTCCTCATTGCATTGAGTAGTGACAAAATGATGAAATTAAATGTTAAATTTACAACTATTGCCATTAATTAACATTATATTGCAAAAAAATAATCGAATTTCATTTCTACTAAAAATTTGTTTTGCTTGGCCTTCCTGATTGCTTGCATATCAATCGATGACGTAACCGTCGAAATTAGGACCCGGTAATGGCGGCGCCCATTGTTTATATGTCACTTTTGAACTCATCACCAATAGAGGTAGATAATACGAATTGGATAAATCTTTACACAGAAAAGAATACAATTTGAATGATGAATTTACCGCTCAATTTATTTCAATGGATTGTTTACATAAAATAAAATATTGCAACACATTGCAAGACCGTCGAAATATGGGCACACGAGGGTACGCGCCATTTTGATGTAACGAGGAGGGGTAAAGTCATGAGTGGTAGGTGTTGGCACCAGCAAAGACGGAACGACGCCGACATAACCATTTTATAGCTACAAATAAAAAATTATTTAAATCGTCCTTTATTCTGTTGTTTCTTTGAAATAAACCACAGTGCAAGGAAGTGTTTTTTTTTAAGGTCTGGGCCCCTAAATGGAACGTTCTATCGTAAAAATTATATTGTCCTACGGACCCGGTTTAGGTGAGGGATTGTACCAAGACACAGTTAGATTATTCTAACTACCAGGCCCCGGGATCATGAAACATCTTAAAGTCAAAATCTTTAGTTTATAATAAAATATTGTAGATGTCAAAAATATGAAAATTAAAATATTTTTCAATATTGTTCCATTGAAGTCTTATTATGTGCAAATTAAGAAATAGATTTCATAATTGATAAATATTTTATAGTCTTAATAAGTGCAAATTAAGAAATAGATTTTATAATTGATAAATATTTTATAGGCGATCAGAAATTTGACTTAGTCTAAGTTTGTTTCATGATCCTTAGGCCCAGAACAATATCTTGATTTGGCTATATAGTTTGATTAAGCAATATTGCTTTATTAAATATTCCGAAAAGTTTTATCAGCTATTTTATCACATTATGTGTTATTTTCTCAGCGTGTACAAAAAGTTGCACTTAATTACACTCATTAATTTAATTTGTGTCTTTTTGAGAAACTGTATTCGACGTTCTATACAGTTACTTCTTCAGTGAAATTAAATAGTGTACAGTTTCTTGCACAATAGAAATTCATCTTTTGCTTAATAATATTGAAAAGCTGCAGTTGCAAGAAATATCTTCGATTTTAGTTGTTGTATTGATAGTCCATAGTACATATATGAATATTAGAATACTTGTTAATTTTTTATGCGCCCGGATCGATAGATCCCGGGCGTATATTGTTTTTGTCCTGTCTGTTTGTCTGTTTATCTGTTTGTCTGTTTGTCTTTCTGTCTGTTGTCAACTTTAACCTTCGCCATAACTTTTGAACAATAAAAGATAGAGACTTCATATTTGGTATGCATACTCCACAAATAAAGTCCTTTCAAATGACATCAAGGTCAATGACCTTGTGACCTTGACTGTGACCTATATGCTAAAAATAGCTTTTTCCACTGTTTGTCATAACTTTTTAACTATAGGAGATAGGGACTTCATATTTGGTATGCATACTTGACTGTGACCTATATGCTAAAAATAGCTTTTTCCACTGTTTGTCATAACTTTTTATCCATAGGAGATAGGGACTTCATACTTGGTAGGCATACTCCACTAATAAAGTCCTTCCAAATGACGACAAGGTCAATGATCTTGTGACCTTGACTGTGACCTATATGCTAAAAATAGCTTTTTACACTGTTTGTCATAACTTTTTAACCATAGGAGATAGGGACTTCATATTTGGTAGGCATACTCCACTAATAAAGTCCTTCCAAACGACGACAAGGTCAATGATCTTGTGACCTTGACTGTGACCTATATGCTAAAAATAGCTTTTTACACTTTTTGCCATAACTTTTGAACCATATGAGATAGGGACTTCATACTCCACCGATTAAGTTCTGTCAAATGACACCTTGGCATGGTCAATGACCTTGTGACCTTGACTGTGACCAATATGCTAAAAATAGATTTTTTAAACTTTGTTGCCGCCGGGCGCATAGCGTTTCACAAACACATCTTGTTTCTATCTATTGCAAGCAATATTTAAAAGAAAAAACTGCGTGTATATATATTTATTTTATATGAAGCTAAATCAAGCTATACAGCTGCTATACACATTGTTTTGGACCTGGTTATGAAATAAGTCACTTCTGTACTGTTTAAACATCTGTTCATGTTGGTTATGAATTATTTTTAATGATTGCACTGCACACAAGTTTAGTTACAAATATGTGTGTTTTAAGCGATTTGTTTCTTTAAAGAAATGGAATGTTTCAATGGCTATATAAATTATAAAACAACGGCCTTGGATTAATGATCTAGAATATTACAATTCACAGGTTAGCTTGGACTTTCAGTAAGGCGTTGGATTTTCTGTGCAATGTAATTAGCTCCTGTCAAATGCCAAATAAATTCTCATTAGGTATCAAGAAATTAATGCCAGATCTTTTAATAAGCTATTTGCTTCACCAGTTGACATTCATCCGAATTTCTATGCATGAAT